ACTTAGTACCAAGGAACGCATCACAGAGATATCTAAAGAGGTCTGCAGAGATGGCCCAAAGGTGGTTTCCAACTTCTTTTTAACCCTTTTCCCAGTACTCACATGGCTTCCACGTTACAAGATCAGAAAGTACTTGCCTGGAGATATCACATCTGGTATTATAGTTGGCATTGTCACCATTCCACAGTCAATTGCTTACTCTTTGTTAGCCAATCAAGACCCCATCTATGGACTGTACACCAACTTCTTCTGCTGCATCATCTATTTCTTAACAGCAACATCACGTCACAATTGTGTTGGCACATATGGAGTGCTGTGCCTTATGGTTGGAGAGACAGTAAACAAACAATTAAAAGCAGCAGGTTATGTTACAGATGGATCTACTACAGCTGCAGTAAACTCATCATTGGTCAATGGAACTGTGTGTGATAAAAGCTGCTATGCTATTACTGTGGCAACCTCTTTGACCTTTGTTGTTGGTGTATACCAGGTAGGTACAAATATTATTCTGTATCATGTTTTAAAATGAAATAAGATTAAAGTAAAAAATAGCCCCCAGTTGTACTACATATGTTACAAAGGTTGTAATAATTTTAGAGATAAAAAAGACACTTTTTTCCTGTGGATTTTATATAAATTGTTTTAACCCAATCAAACCCAATACCATTCAGATTCTTACCATAAATTCTAAGCCATAATGAAAGGGTCTGTTATAACGCATAAAATGGGTTTGTTTGTCCTTTCAATGTTTTATAATGATATAAACTATTTATAGTTTCTCAGCAATCTGGCTCCTGTTTTTCACCCAAAGTCCTCCTAAAAACCTCATTATGTCTGTGAATTTCCAACCAGGGTTCTACTCTTCCATACAATATATATTTTAAAGTAGCACTTTAGGCAAAACATTTTTCAAAATTCAGATAGAGTAAATAAGTTTTTTTGCCCTCTGTGTCCAGTTGGGGAGATTTCCCATTGACAAATGAGAGGACATCCCACCAAAATGAGAGAATGCCTTGTTAACCAAAATTTTCCCTTTTTTCCTGTTCTGTTGATAACCCCACATTTGTGATTTTCTTTCACTGTTGGTGAAAACAGAACAAATAGAGAGGACAAATTTCCCTAGCGGGGATACAGACAGCAATAAGAACATGGCAGATGTTCTAATCCCTCTCCACTCTATCCAAATCTAAAAATAATGTTTTGACTTTAGTTATACTTTAGCTGTAATATCTGTCTACATTTAGATGCAATTCCCATCTTATTTAAAAACTTTATTTTAATTTGATCAAGTTATAGGGTAAGTAATACATTTTACAGTAATCAGATATTTAATCTAACTACCCTTATGTCAAAAACCAGTTACCATCACAAAAACTGGTAACAGAAAACATATAATCTGTAAGAGAAAAGCTTAATTAGATGTGTAATCATATATAAACTGCACCACCATGGTATTAAGGTTCTCACCCTGTTGAGATAATTTTTTTTAGCAATAAACAGATAAGAGGTAAACAAAGAAAATTGGGGAAAGAGGAAGAAAAGAAAGAGAAAAAAGTAAGTAAGAAAAAAAGGAAAAAAAGGGAAAGAAGGGACTGGGGGGAAGTAGGGGGTGTCACAGTCACGGGGATCGCCACCCTCAACATGCGATAATCGCACGACCGCGACCAACAATAATACGTCACACCCGCGGTGTCAGACCCCAGACCTTCTCACTAAACTCGTGACCAAAGGACCGGCCGATCTAAAACTGCGATGTGATGTACGTAACAATGCCACACTCAGCTGCGCCCTGCACAACGATTGTCCAGCTAATGGAACGCAATCGACGCACCGGCAGCCTGAATGCGCTTGTTACTGGGTCGGGTTAATTATGCAACTAACCCTTCACTGCCACCACCCCTTTTTGTACAGAGAAAGGGGAAACTCTCTTTATCCAATATACAGTGTAATGGTTGAAAAGTCGCCTGTCCAATACGGTCACCGCAGGCCAATTGGGCAGAGGATAAGACAAACACAGTAGCGTCTCTTCAAAAGGCAGGAATTCGTGAAGCGCTTAGAAACAGTTTAACACTTTGAGAAAGAAAGATTTATTACTAAAGAAGTCAAACAGGTGCAATAAAATATTACAAAGAAAATGTAACTAGATATATATATTTATATATATAAAAACAGCATATCACAGCCAAGAGATAACAGGGAGAAGTTAAAAGGTTAAGTTACTTGGCATGTTAAGCCTTGAGGTAGCAGATCCAAGTTGCAGAGCGAAGGGTCTTTGATCTCCTGCTGTTACGATGTTAAAATTAGGAGATGTCTTTAGTTTATCCTCAGGCCTACAGCCTGTGCTTTTTTAAAGTCCCCCAGCAAGGGGGGTGGCTCTGAGTAACTGGCCAATACCTGTTTAGGGAGGGATGTCGGTCGGACTCTGAATTAAAACCAACATCTGTCATAATCCATGATATGAAACATAGGGGAAAACCAGATCTGTTAAAAATGTTAACTTGTTTGGGCTTCTGGGGACTGCCTTGAACTCTTGAGAAGTTTCTGCCATCCTTCCCCAAGGTGTGAAATCACACAGGTCCCTTGGACAGAGAGGCTGCTGTCTCTATGGGGGGGCTTTGTAGCGCTGGGCCCCCTGCTGCTCCAGCCTGCCAGCACTTTTAACACTTACACATCTGTCCCTGTGCCTCTCAGGAAGGGAGAGGGTAGGAAATAAAGGATTGAGGAATACTTCTAATAAAAAAGGGGAACTCCGCATCCAACTCTGATGAGCAAGTTTGCTACGGGGGATGGAGGGAAACAGTTGAGAGGGAGAGCAAAAGGGGCCCAGCTCTTCATTCCAGCAGTAGCAACCCTCCCGACTCTAAAGGCTTGTTCACCGAGAGTCCAGGTATAGCTGCCAGGGCATCCAAATCTCAGAATGTTTCTTGGACTGATTTATATTAACCGTAGTTAACTGTTCCGCTACTTGGATGTCAGATACCCTATTACACCAGTGTTCAAGTGTAGGCGGAGTAGTTTGTTTCCAAAGAGCCGGTATGCATGCATATCCTGTCTTAGTTCTTTCTTTCTAAATAAGAGTAGATGCCAGAAAGCTGCGCACTTTTACTAGTATGACATAAGACCAACATTTCAGAGGGTTCCTTGCAGCCATGAAACATTTATTGTTATATCATACAAGCAAAGGTTTCATTACTTGCAACTTACCTGTTAGTATGCTGGCATTTATTCTTATCTGTATTTGCAGTGCCTTTTTTGCTATGTACCTTCTTTGTCTACTCTACACATCCTCAATTTCTTTCTTGGTGCTACACCTTTTCCTTATCATTTAAAAGGGTTTATATTACTATCTATGCTGCCCTAGGAGAAATTCTGCTCACTTCCTGTTCTGATGACTACATAGGAACTGAGGGGCTTTTCCTAACAAACAGCAGGCAACAATATATTTCACAGAAATTGTTAACCTACGACATCTTACACAAAAACTATAGCTGGAGTTTCACTAATATTGACAGCCTTGCCCCTTAGGGTAGCCTCTCAAATTAACCTTGCATCTTTAAATAGCCATTTGTGTTGTCATTTAACATTGCATAGGTAACTGTGACAGTTAAGAATGTTTGTACGTTAAATGTTAAATTACTTGGTTGTAAACCTTAGACATGAAACATGAACAAAGCATATCCTTCTATACTGTATACTTGCCTTTTTCTAAAGCACTGAATGTGCTTTTTTTTAGGGTACTGCATAGCCACAATTAACATTTCCAGATATTCCCTATATGAAATCATACCTGGTTACAGATGCACTTTAAAGTGACCTTGTCGGCATGGAATCACTTTGTTTGTAAAAGCACACCTGTAATAGAAGAAGATTTATACTTGCCTTTCTGGTGTCCCATTTGTTGAAAAGTCACTTCTTCGAAGCTCACTGACCACTGCAAGTATTTCACATTTCTGGGTGTGTAAAATTCTTGCTTCCTCTCTGCATGCAGTTATTTATCCTACTGGCTCATACATCACTGCAGCATGTATGAGCCATTGTGAGGAACCATTGAATGCAATGGGGAGTGCTGGTATTCAACTCATCCAGCTGGTCGAATATGTGCAGCGGCAGGGTAGCAGCAAAGAGGTGATATTTCAACAAACAGTCCTCCTCCCCTCTGGTCCCCCATCTGCGCTCCTGCCTCCCACCCACCCCCACCCCCACCACTGCCGTGGGCCCCCAGAGCAAGCTGCTTGCTCTGGGGGGCACTCATGTGTGCTCACTCACAAGCTGGCCCTGTATGTCTATAATACATACAAAGCGCGGCTCGGCCTTGCCCCCCCCCCCATTCCCTCCTCACTGGCTGTCTCAGCCAAAAAAGGAGAGGGAGACTCGGGAGTGCCAAAGATCTTGTGCACAGCACTTGATTGTGATCAGGATAAGGTAAGTATTGGGGGGTCTGCATGGAGGTAGAATGCATGAAGGTGAAAAATGTCCACCTTTAGAACCACTTTCAAGCAGTAAAGGCAAAAGGTTTTGTACTTTATACTTTGTACCTAGATACCTGTTTTAATTCAGCACTGTGCCTATCTGCAGTGGTGCTCGCCTCTCTCTCACTCCTTATAGGACATGGAGGCAGTGTTGTACCACTATAGGAAGTGGCTTCTTATGGGGGTGCACATAGTAGAGGATGAGTTGAGACCACTGGTGGGGGATCCCAGAAGAGGGCGTCGAGGGCAATACCATTGCGAGTAAGTAAGTATATCATGTTTATTATTTTTTTAAAAATTACACAAAACAATGATATGAAAGATCATTTACAATATCTTTAGGCATCTGAAATTATTTCACTGTAACTAAAATGTTCTTATAGCTTAACTTTGCTACAACTACCAAAGAAAACATTCAATGATCCAGCTTGTAAAATGGAAAAAAAAACCATAAACGTCCCTTCTCTTCATCCTTTTGGAAAGTAATTATTAAATAAATATTTATATATATGTTTTCTTTTTCAGATCCTCATGGGAATCTTTCAGCTAGGATTCATCTCAATGTATTTGTCAGAGCCTTTGCTGAGTGGTTTTGTCACTGGATCATCACTGACAATTCTGACCTCACAGATGAAGTATCTCCTTGGGTTAAAGATCCCTCGTCGTGATGGCGTTGGGGCTTTGGTTTTTACTTGGATCGACATCTTCTCCAATCTGAAAAGTACTAACATATGTGATTTAGTTACTAGCATCATTGCAATAGTTCTTATTGTCCCTGTCAAAGAAATAAATGATCGATTTAAGAATAAGATGAAAGTCCCCTTTCCAATAGAATTAATAGTGATTATTGTGGCCACACTGGTTTCCTATTACTATAGTTTTAATACGAAATATAAATCCGCAGTCTGTGGCTCCATTCCCACTGGATTCCAGGTTCCGAAAGCCCCAGACTGGAGCTTGATTCCCAGTATAGCTGCTGACGCAGTGCCAATTGCAATAATTGGATTTGCAATGACAGTATCTCTTGCTGAAATATTTGCCAAAAAACACGGATACACAATCAGCACCAATCAGGAGATGATTGCTATTGGCATGTGTAATCTAATCCCATCTTTCTTTTCCTGTTTTTCAAGTTGTGCCGCTCTTGCCAAAAGTCTTCTAAGAGAGTCCACAGGTGCCAACACCCAGCTAAATGGTGTAATCAGCTCATCTGTATTGTTGCTTGTACTGCTTGCCATTGCCCCTCTGTTCTACTCGCTACAAAATTGCATTTTAGGTGTCATAACTATAACCAGTCTTAGGGGAGCACTGAGAAAATTTGCTGACACTCCAAAAATGTGGTGTATTAGTAAAATTGATACAGTGGTCTGGTGGGTTAGCATGTTGGCATCTTCCTTAATTTCAACTGAGATTGGATTATTGGTGGCTGTTTGCTTCTCCATGCTTTGTGTGATCTTCCGTACTCAGAGGCCAAGGGCAACTCTATTAGGTAAAGTTAGCGGAACAGAGATTTATGAAGACCAGTTCACATACAAAGAGCTGAACAACATACCTAATGTTAAAATATTCCGATTTGATGCCTCTCTCTACTATGCCAACAAAGACTACTTTAGAAGTTCTCTTTATAGCAAAACTGGCGTTAACCCTCCCATAGTGTCTGCATTGCAAAGGAAGGCAAAGAAAGAAGAAGAAGCAGCTTCAAGAGAGACAGGCAATAGGTTCATTGCTAGGTTTAATTTGATTAAAACTGAGAAGAGGAAAACTGCCAAAACTTCTGTACCACAGCTTGACATCCACTCTCTTATTATTGATTGTGGTGCCATGCAGTTTATAGACACCGTGGGGCTTGGTGTTCTTAAAGAAGTCCGCAGTGACTACGAGGAGATAGGTGTACAAGTGTTCCTTGTTAATTGCAATCCATCAGTTCGCCGATCCCTTCATGATGGAGAGTATTTCAGCAACACCAGCGGTGATGTAGAGCTGCTTGCCTTTCACAGTGTACATGATGCAGTAACATTTGCTGAGAGGAAATTTAAAGAAAAACAGAAAGAAATTCAGTTAAGGGATGCTGCCTTCTCATTTGACCCAGATCAAGCTATAAGTGATGACCTCAGGAAGTGAAAATGTTCAGTTATATTTAAGCAATTAGTATTTAGTAAGCGATTAATACAAATATGATATTGATATACCTGTATATATACGTTTTCAACTACTTTTATTTACTTACATTTTTTTTTACTGCAGCATTGGTCAAATTTAAAGATCAAATACAGGCAAGAAAAAAAATTGACTAAGAACCGCTAACTAGAGATGTGCATGGCAGAAAAAAAAAATGTTTTGTTTCAGATTAATTGTTAAGTAATTCATTTAGTTTCATCATGTTTGTTATATTAAAATGATTCAGTTTGAGACTTAATTTTGTATATTTGGATTTGTTTTGTATATTTGTTATTTCAAATTGATTCGAAAGTAAATTCAGAAGATGGGCTATATGCATTTTAACTTGTTAATATGTTGTTTCGGGAGGTTACTTATGCACTCTTGAGTCATCCCTGCTAGTCCAACCCACAAAGAGAAATGGCTTGAGCTGATTGGACGATATTGACTTGGGTAATGAAAGTAATGAATGGAACAAAATTAATTCCGGATTCATTCGTTAGGTTTCTATTTCATATGTAGTGCATTTTTTCTAATAATGAAAAATGTTAATGCAAAATAAAAATAAAATGGATGTAAATCAATTTGATTCCTTCCTTATTTTATTACGTTATTTTAGATGCTTCAAACATTAACAAGAGGCCCAAACTATCACATCATGTCATCCGAAAGAAACAAATGAATATGAAGTAATTCCTTGTTTCGTTATGATTTACTGTATATCAGATTTGTGGAAATTCATTACTATTGAGATTTGGATACATCCAAATCCCCAAATAATGAGAATTTTGTCAGAATTTCGATTAGTAAAAACACAAATCACACTCGTCTACTGCTAACACTACCCGGGTAGAACAGCTGCTCCAGATCTTAGTAAATAAGATGAAGTTTCACTGCACAAAGAATACCCAATCACATGCAAGGAAATAAAAAAAAAAAAAAACTGCATTTTTGCCTGCACATGATTGGATGATGGAAGTCAGCAGAGCTTCCCTTCACTTACTAAGCTCTGGAGCAACTGCACTTTCAGAGTGCACAGTCTATATTCCTTTAGTATATCATTCTTTAACCATTCTTTAACCAGTTCCCAGCTGTGCTATAGCCAAAAAGATGGCTACAGCGAGGTCGGCTAATTCTGGGTAGGAGTCCATGGACATCATCCCAAACCCACACCCTCTGTGCGTGATCTGTGATCACTGTGTCCTTCGGACACCGCTGATCACATGACTAATGAATGGGCCAATCTCAGTCGCTTTTACCATGTGACCAGCTGTGTCCAATCACAGCTGATCACTGGGTAAATAGGAAATGACAGTTATTGGCAGTAATCTTCTCACGCTGACAGCCCGTGAGGAGAGGAGAGCCAGTAAGTGGCATTTCGCAGGGGGACATCTACACTGATAATCAGGACACTGATCATCAGTGTCCTGGTGATCAGTGTAGCCAATAGTGCCCATCAGTGCCCATCTGTGCTGGCAATCAGTGCCCATTTGTGCTGCCAATTAATGGCCATCGGTTGAATCAGTGACCATCAGTGCCAATCAGTGTCCATCAGTTGAATCAGTGCCCATCAGTACTGCCTATCAGTGTCCATCAGTGCAGCCTATCAGTGCCCATCAGTGCTGCCCATCAGTGCCACCTAACAGTGCCCATCAGTGCCACCTATCAGTGCCCATCAGTGCCGCCTAACAGTGCCCATCAGTGCCACCTATCAGTGCCCATCAGTGCCACCTATCAGTGCCCATCAGTGCCACCTAACAGTGTCCATCAGTGCAGCCTCATCAGTGCCCATCAGTGACTCCTCATCAGTGCCCATCAGTGCAACCTGTCAGTGACCATCAGTGAAGGAGAAACATTACTTATTTACAAAACTTTATAACAGAAACTAAAAAAAACTTTTTTTTTCTCAAAATTTAGCAAAAAATAAAAACCCCAGTGGTGATCAAGTACCACCAAATGAAAGCTCTATTTGTATCAAAAAAATGATTAAAATACCACCAAAATACCACCAAAAGAAAGCATTATTTGTCTAAAAAAATGTATTAAAATTTAGGTACAGTTTGGGTACAGTGTTGCATGACTGAGCAATTGTCATTCAAAGTATGAGAGCGCTGAAAGCAGAAAATTGGTCTGGGCAGGAAGGCAGTAAAATTGCCCAGTAGGCAAGTGGTTGAGAAAGCCAACAGTGCCAGCAGCCATTTTGCAATACTATGGATAGGACTGTAGCCTTTAGTGGGCTCCGACAGAGGGCTGCTCTTGAACCAAAAAATACAATAACCTGTATTTTTTTTAATCTAGCCCAACATCAGTGCAATTGAGAAATGGATAACAGCATTTAAAAGAATTCAATGAGTGGGATGGGTAGGTAGAGATTGTGAACACCATGTTTTTACTTGAGTTTACCCATAACATTTAAAGTATTTTCACCGGTTTCAAACGTTATATTTTTTGTCATATTGACAAATAATTATTCCCTTTTGTCACATCTGGTTATGTTTATGTTTATGTTGTCTATCTATCTGACTATCTATCTATATCTCAAACATATTACTGTACATTAAACACAAGCAATATGCATGTGGTTCTTGTAATGTTAAAATAAACACGTGCTAAACATTTAACAACATAAATATCAGCTAAATATCAGCACATATTCTGAGTACACGAGTGGCTAAGGATAACTTTCAGTATGGCTCATTGCTTGACAGCTTGTATGACATTGGTACTGCCATGTCTCTAGTGGATTCCCAATATGAGCATTTGAAGAATGCACTCCATAGTGAGAAACCAGGATGTTCAGCTCACAACAAAGCTCAAACTGCCATAACAAGACTGAAGATGGAGAGATATCTCCTTCACTTTGTTGCGGACAGCAATAGAAAAAAGGGGGAATTCCAGACTGTCTAATTCTTCCCAAAACTTAAAATAATTCTCAATTCACTACTTAAGCTAGCCATAGATAGATTGAATCTTGGTCGGTTTCAGCAGGGATCGGCCAAGATTCGACCCATCTATGGCTAGGCTGATCGTATCCAAGTTGATCCATCAACTAACTTGTGTACAACCAGCATGTTGGATTTTTAGCATGCAAGTACTGCCAGCAGCTATATCTGCTAGTAGTAATCACTGAGTTCTGCCAGCTGGGAAGGCTCCGTACTGGGAGAACACAATAGCTCCATTGAAGGGATTCCCCCATCAACACTGACTGTGAAGAAAATCACATAATCTATTGCCTTCCTTAATTTATTTGACTCAGCCATGCAAATAGTCACATTTTCATCATTATTTAACCTGGGGGGTACTATCAAGAATCTATAGTAACTGTTATAGCAAAAAACAAAAATAAGAGAACCAGAACCTTTGCTAAGTGGCAGAGTGGGATTAATGATAAAGCTGGCAGTACATCCACCCAGGACAGAGCCTCTGTGAACAGAGGGGATTCCATTCATGGGAAATTAACCAGTAATCTAATCAAAGTAATTGGGAGCAGTAGAACTACTGCAACCAGCATATAAAATTAAACCTTTTATTTTAGCAATTTAGTGCGCTCCCTATCTGATATATTTCAATGTGTCAAAACAAAAAAAGTTTTTGCTAAAATAAAATGTTGATCTTTTTAACCTCCCTAGAGGTCTGATTATGTCCATATTTTTGTGCTCAAAGTGGTACATTTTTTTGCATGGAAATATGTAGTTTTTTATTGTAGGCCTGTAATTTTTAGGAATAACTCACTGAAATTATTCCGAACAAGAATCTAGTAAACATCCCGGGTATGTTACAATTTGAAACATGAAATCATAAATTATAATTTAATAAATAATCATAAAAAATAATAATATAATAATAATACATTTAATTCAATAATATAATAAAACCAAAAACACTGAAATTTGAAATATAGCGCCACGTTCGCACATCACTGAGCAAAGTCGCAAAATTGTTTTCAGTGTCTGTTGACGAATTTCCCCCACGAATCATTATCACTCAATTCTGCAAGAAGTTCTAATTCACTATCGCTGTTCTCTAGCTGGTCTAAAACTGCTTTTGACCTAAAGGGACGCTTTTTGGACGCCATGGACGTTTCTCAGTTTCCAGGCAGAAAGAACAGTAAAAATGCAGGCAGGGCACAGGACAAAGCAGTAGGGACAAAATGTATGTGAAATGGTTTGATACAGTAATGTTTTACTATGTGATTTTAGTGTATTTAGTGAATGTCACTTTTTGTCATTTTCAAATTTCCCGCCGTTCCGTCCCCCCGTACGTCCCGACGCTCGCAGGGGACGGAACCCAGATGACAGATGCCGGCATCCGCTGGAGGACATTGCCGGGGACGCTGCAGGAGGGAAATTGCGGGAGCGCAGGACAAGGTAAGTGAAGAACAGATGCCGGAGCAGCGCCGCATGGTAAGCCCGAGTGTAGCTCGCGGTTACTGCTTTTGGTACTGAAACTTTACCCCGAGCTACACTCGGGAATACCGTCAGGGAGTTTAACAAGTGACTTCTTTGTATATGTTTCAAGGTTGCCTAAAAAATCCCACAAAAATGTAAGGTAAAAATTTTCTTTGTATGAAAATATGGATGATGGCAACCACACCCTAAGCTACACTGATTGACCTTTCATAAAATTAACTCTAAGCATAAAGATACACACCAGCATAGAAATAACACAAGCTTTATATAGGAAGAAATTAACTATACATATATTCAGTGTACAAACAGGTATTAACAGCAAAGGGGCACAATAGGAGTCCTGATGGAATTGTACACATATACCTGGGTACATATAGTCCATAATACAGATACCTCCAGATCAGGGGCAGACTGACCATTTGGAAACTCGGGCACTGCCCGAGGGCCCGTGGTCAGTAGGGGGCCCCATGAGATGCCCCTGGTACCTTTTTCATAGGCTTTTTTGAGTTTGGGCAAGGACACAGGGGCCCCATGATCCCCTATTGCCCGGGGGCC